TTCTAAATTACTGCAGATTTTGCTCAGCACCAGTGAACATTACAGAGCCTTGAAAAGAAACAAGTGTTATGCTTTTCAGTTAAGATAAGAACCCACAGTAATTTTCTGCCTCTACTCAGATGTAGTTTTTGTTTTCTCAGAGCTAATGTCTGTTTTGTTCTCTTGTCAGCAAGTGAATATACTGTATTAGATCCACTGATCCAACTTTTGGTACACTTTGAACCTCATTATTTTTAATATCAAATATTAAAATACTATGTAATACTAGTTATGCATTTGAAGTAATACAGTAGTTGTAATTCAAATGTAAAGCATTCCAGTTGTTTAAACTTACTATTTTAAGAGGATGGTAATGTTTAATGCAAACAAGTCACTTCTTAAAAATAATGCTCTGTGTGCTGGTAGTAGTTTTTTACATTCTGTTCAAAAAATGTTTCTCCCATTACATCAGTTTTCTTTTGCAAAAAAGAGTATAATATTAATATTAAAACCTTAAGATATATTTAAGAAAGAAAAAACCAAAAGAAAATATGCAAGATACAAAACCAATAACAATATTAGGCACTCCTTGTTCTCCTGACAATTTTAATATATCATTAAAATACATACCCTCTGTTTACATGTTTTAGACTGTATGTATCTGAAATATTTATGATACTGTCTTGATTTGGACACGCTTGTTGACAAGCAGAATACATTACTGACTATGAGGTTTAATATACATGTGTATTTATTTTACACAGCGTTCTTCAGATGCTCAATTTGATTAAAATATTGTCTTTATGGCCTGCCTCTGAAAACCTGCTATCTGAAAAGTAATGGGCTTCTTAGCTTCTTCAGCTTGAGGTTTTAGACTGATTCACTTATGACTGGTTGTAAGACCAGTCATAAGACCAGTGGTGACTGATTCCTGAATTCCTGCCACACCACAAGAAGTGAACCACTGACATGGAAATGATCATTTAGTTTGGGGGTTTCTATCTATATGAAAAGTGATATCATTATTCATGTGGCAAGACAGATGGATTCAAAAAAATGTACAAACTAAATTATGCAGATGTTTCTTTTTCATGCATTTTTCCATTTTTATTTTTATTTTCCTTTTCTTTGTAAAAACAAATGAACAGGTTTCTTTAAACTTGTTTTAGGATAGATACTGTGGAGTGCTTAAAACACAGAAGTAGATAATAGAATCATCGTTATCTTGAATATTAATGCATTCAACCTGTGATCTATGAAATATTAATTACTCAATCCAAATATACTTAGAAAACATTAAGAAGCTCAGTTGTAATCTTAACTTAGAGCACTACAGTGTTTCATTCCTTCTGGGCTAAAACATGTTAAGAGCTTGGGGCATAAAATATTTATTTTTAAAACTTGCAGTCCTGTACTGGAGAACTCTACCTCTGTGCTGTGGAAAGCGTCATTCCTTGGCTAATTTAGCACCACCTTTGGTGTCCTGGCTCAATCCCACTATGGGTTAGCACAGTGTGGAGTACCGAAAGTTTCCCCTATTTCCTTTCTCAATTCTATTCCTGAGCAGCTGTACAGGGGGGCTGATGTTCTGCAATGGCTGCTGTGAGTCACCCAGTTCTGGGGTGAATGAAGTAAATATATCCTGTCTGATATGTAAAACTCTTTGGGCTGAAAAATACTGTATAGATGCAAGGAATGATTGTTGATTATATAATTGTCAATAGTAATTTAGTACAGGGCTGCTTTGGCATGGTCTTCCTAAAAATAAACATGCTGCCTTTTTTCTGAAATAATTCTCATAAATGGATCAGGGCCATTAGCAATGGTCTGTTTAGTTATGTAACATAGCAGCTGGTTTTTGTTTTATTTAACAAAAGTTTTAAATTTGCACAATGCTGCACATTTAAAAAATATTGTCTGCTCAAAGTGTTGTGTACTATATTTATGGTATAATTGTCAAGGTATTTTTGTTAAGATGTAATGACTTAGAATGACTATTGCACAACCAATAGTCAGAAAGCCTTAGTAGGCCCAAACGGAACCTGGCAACTGCCCAAGATATTTCACTTTTTATAGCCTCACCCTTTTTTCTTGCTGCTTATACATGGAACAGGTAATTGCAGTTTCAAACAATTACTTGTATTTGTGGTTTCTTTTAATTTTGCTTTCCTTTGCAATAGTGATTGTAATGTCTGTAACTGCTTGTCTCCATTTAAAATACAGGAGAGATTAACTCAAATGCAAGCAAAAGACAGTGGTATCTATTCTGTGCTAAAAGACACCATTGTAGACCAGCTCAGTAATGTATTTCTGTCTTATGGAGGCTTGAATCTCCATAGACTGAGAAGGTTTATGTCAAGAACCATTATTTCAGTGCTACCGATATGGAGGATATCTTAATTGTCTTGTGTTGCATCGACATACTTTGAAAAACAATTTAAGCTTTATTTTACTGTTTTTTTAATGCAAACTGCAAACTTTGCATAACACATTCACACACCTGAAGAAGGCTCCACAGCCAAAACTTTGTGTCTTTTCTTGTGTTTTCAACATGGAATAAACCTTTACCTGTTACTTAGCATTACAGCTTGTCTTCATTTTATGAGAAATTTCATTAATTTAATATCAAGAAAAGGCAGCTTTGTGGCAATGGAAGGACAGATAATTTATATTTACAGAATATACTCACCTGTATTCTGGACCTTTCCGCATACATCTTTGTATGTCTTTAACTGAGCATAATAGCCTGATGCAGTGATATGGAGTTGGGCTGTGTTATGCAGCTGTGATCTCATCTCCGTAAGAAGTTGTGCTTTACCACCGACGACAGATTCTGAATTTCTTGTGAGAACCTGCTTCAGTCTGAGATGATTCTTCTTTTTTTGGCACAAAGGCTGCATTTTTCGTTTTATTTTCCTTTGAGATAAGAATCTGTTAAAGCTTGATGCTTCACTGTCGCACAACGTTGTGTCTTCACATACAACAAAGGGAACATTTTTACAACCTCTTAATGTTTGTACTTTGTAATAGTTTTTTCCCCCTTATCAGTGTGTATTTTCAAACACTTAAATCCATCTTCAATAACTGCTTTGTCCTTAGAGGGTGGCCTAAACCATTTTAGAATTTAATTTGAAATGGTTTGCCAATTTGACTGTTTTGCATCAGTGGTACTCCTGGGTGTGCTAGCATTTCCTGGAAGTTACTCATAGTTTAGAATAATTTCTAAAGTCCGTCTTGAATAATTTCGGAGGTGAATTTATTGAAGTTCTCTACTGATAGGCCAGACACTTGCCAGGAAAGACTGTATATTGGCATCTACATGTCTTTTTTTCTAGGCTGAGAGCAGACTTTCAGGCAAGAAAGCTAGACATTACACTCAGTGCCTTCCAGTGTTAGTCCCAGCGATCTCACCCGTTCTTCTTGCTAGAATAAAAAATCTAGCAAGACAAAATTTGAGTAGGAAAATGGCTATTAAATCATGATAAGATGTTTATAAACCTCTAGTAGTATGAAGCATTTAACGACATTGGGTTTTGCAAGAGAGAAGACAAATGATACTAAGATGTAGACACTGGATCCTGCCAAGTTTGGGAAACTATTACAAAATAATAGAAGGCAATTCTGTCCATTTGGCCTGCTCTTAATACTAATGATTCTTTGCTTTTATATCATTCTTTTTATCCCTATTATTGCATTGTAAAAACAAATTAAACAAGCTCTATCTTTTTAAACCCATCCTCACTAATTGTGTTGGCATGTACTGTAAATACGCCTCTGGTTTTCTGGTTACTACGGTCATGATATAAGTATGTACTTACCTGACTGTGCTTTCTCTCTCTTGTTGTGGATGTGTGCTAAATTTTAAATAGCTCCAGTCACTGAATACAGCATCTTTCTCTTGTGTCTGTTTAAAACTTCTAGTTAATGGTCGCTGAAAGTAAAGAGAATTATAAATTAATATCACTTATTTATTTGAATGTGACTGGAAAACTACAATGGGGTGCATTCATTTATTGAAATGCTATTCCCACCTCTACTTAAATCTCTGTTAGGAAATTATGAGAATGATCTTTCGTAAACTTTAAATGTAAATGTTATTATATTTTTCCTTGTTGAACACCTGCCTACAACATACATATTCAGCTTATTCTCTAAGAGCACCCCTTTACATCTTAGATCCTTTGAGGAATTCTTCATATAGAGTTTTGCTGTTGCGCTGCTAGAAGACTTTTTGTATTAATTTTATCCTCCTTGGCAATATTCTTTCTGTCTCTATTTTATCTTTTTTGGCTTGTGCTGGTGAGTCAGTATTAGTCTTTTTATGCATTGGGTCTTGTTCTCTTTTGTTTGAATAGCAGTGGGAGGAAAATATTTATTGCTGCCAGCAACATCTATTTTCTCCAAATACGTGGTTGACATAAAGCAGTGTCTGCGTTTTTATGTGTGTAAAACATTTTTTCTTCATTTGGAGTTGATAGGTAGGTTTGGAGTAGGAACATCAGTGCTACCAATTCAAATCTGTTACAAAGTACAATAGAATGAACAGCCTCCGTGTGTTCTGAAACTCAATCAGTGCCAAAATAAACATCTTTGTACAAAGTATTTTATGTTCGCTTTTAATGGGTCATAAGGTTGTCTCTTGCAGGAAGATGCTTGTTATATTGAAGAGTCAGAATTACTTAATCCATATGCTCATGATCATACTGGCCTGCATTACCAATTATATATTGGATGAGCTTATGCTATCCAACATGAGGTCATCTGGTGGCACAAAAGGCATTGCCCAGTCAATTTTAGTTTATTTTCTAGAGAAAATAAACCACATCTGGATTAAAAAGTGCTATTATAAGTCTCCATGAACAGGAAAGCAATTTGAGCTAATTTGGCTCAAAAAGGGCTTTCATCAGCTGCTGCCAGGGAGCCAAAAGCAATCTGGAAACCAGTGAGCACAGGGGAAAAAAGTGCTTTTAAGGACTGCATTCATGTTCATTTTTAACCTTTGACCCCTTCTTGCTTTTCAGGTCACTACCTTTACTTCTTGGAACCAGTGAACAATATAACCATAGTTCAGGGTCACACCGCTATACTGCATTGCAAAGTAGCAGGAAATCCAACGCCGAGCATCAAATGGCTGAAGAATGATGCTCCAGTGGTCCAGGAGCAGGGGCGGATATCAATCAGGAAAACTGAAACAGGATCCAGATTGCGCATCCAGGATTTGGACACCACAGACACAGGCTACTACCAGTGTGTGGCGTCTAACAACCTGAAGGTAATATCTGCCACTGGAGTCCTGTACGTCAGATTAGGTAAGATGTAATTATTTTCTTTATCTCTAGCAGCCCTTGTCAGTGGAATGGGCTGTTCAGGCTTTCAGGCTGAATTTCTGAAAAAACATTGCCTCAGGGGCATTCACACCTTTTCTGGCATGTACTAGCCCTGGAATTCGTTAGTTTAATTACCATGCACTGCCATGCACAGCCTTGCTACCCAACCTTGTGCAGGAAGTGGCTCAAAATATTGTGCCTACTTAATGTCAAGTTGAGTTACTCCACTGATACATTCCCTATTTTGTGTACAGTATAATTCTCCAATAATACTTTGGTTTTGAGCCATTGTTTTCATTAGGGAAGATGGTTTCCTCTGGAGAGTCTTCGATATCTCTTTATTGTATGGAAATAATGGTGGACCTGTCCAATTACAATAATGAAATTTGACTTTAACAAATCACTTACACTTTGTGAAACACGGTTTGACATCTATAATTAACAACATCTAGCTACATAACGGAATCAGATGTGATTTTCATTCTTTATCTTCGTTTACTTCATTATCTTCCAGCCTTTTACTTTCCCACTCTTCTCTAGTCTTCCACAGCCACAAATGAGTTAACATCATTTTCATTTTTGTTTAAAATTGATGTAGTTTGCCTTGAATAGATTATGGTCTTGTCGCATTTTTTATCAGGTTTCCAATGAAACATTCTGCAAAAATTAGTCTTCTTTGACATAAGGCTTAAGTTTTAAGTAAGTGTCTGAAGGTTGATGCTTCAGATACGCTGGGAAAGTATCAAATTGAGTTTCCTGAACACTACATTTATGTGTCAAGCATTTAAAAAAGACAAAATTGAATCATCAGGTTGAAATATAAATCATGAGCTGTGTTCATAATTAGGTTTGCTCTCAACACGGATATTTTTTTCCCTATTAAGCCGTTATCCCTGTAGAGAAAAAGAAGAATCCCAGCATTCACCACTGCACTATTAAATTTGTTTTTCTAGAAAAGTGACCTAGCTCTCATTAGAGCACTTTCTTCTGCCAACTGTCTTTCTTTGAATAATCACGTCCTTAAAAACCCAAGTGGTAAGCATTATCTTAATATTTTTGCTCTGTAAAAAGAGCTGGTGCTCATATAGTCCAGTTTGTCTCAAATTTAATGTTTGAGTCGCAGTGTTATAAATTGTTAGATGTAAATTGTAGATGTTTTGAACATTATAAAGCATTACTTATGGATGTGTAATGCAGATTTGTACACACAAAGGGCCTGGCAAAAAGTTTTATTTGTATACATTGACTTCAATACCCAACTGCATTTTATGAGCAATAGGCACAGTTAGGACAACAGAGCTCACATGGCTGGAGTTTCATAGGAATGAAAGTAAGCCACTATCCCTCTAGGCCACATACTGTAGCAGCTTAAAAAGCCAAACCTAAAACAAACTGCTGTGGGACTTTTTGTATGCAAGTGGATGAAGTTCTTCTCTATTCTGTAATTAGGTTAAAACCCAAAATGTCATTTCTTCACACATTGAAGAACACTAGCTTCTGAATGTTTCAGATTGGAATAAAATATTAAGTTATTTTAGAATGAGTCACATTGTACATAAAATGTGCATAAGCACTCAACAAAACAGCCCTGAAACCTGATGTGTGCCTTTCCTTTAGATGACAGTAAGAGGATATGGTTTCAAGTTTGTTTTGAAAAGTTGGCATGTTTATTCTAATCCTTTGTTTTGCTTACTATCAAATGGATAGAGCCTGGTGTGTTTCTGACAGAAGATACATGTGATGTTTGTAGTTTCGGAAATATCTGCATTATTATGTACTGGAAAACTGAAATCTTAAACCACCTACTTTTTTAAAGGAATCTGGGCTCTGAAAGTCTGAATCCTTTGGGTCATTTCCTTCATTAACACACCTGTGTCCTTCTGCTTTTACAGGGCAGTCACCGACGCCTGGCTCTAACTACAATGACCAGTAAGTTTCTTATCTTGCAGCTGTAGAATACCAACAGCTGTAGTCCTCTACATCAGCTTCTTCACTTTATACATATACAGCCTTATCATTCCATCTAACTCTGTTTCTCTTTGCTTTTTATGTAATAAAAGATAAATGAGCGAGAATTTAAATATTCACATAATAATTAATGTAGATATTGCCTCAAAACCCAATGGAATTTAGGCAGAGGGTAGTCTGGAATAAGGCCACATTGTCACAATGCATGACTGGAAACATGTCTGATACAGATGGGGTTGAGGTACCCTAAAACTGTGAATCTGCAAGCTTTGGTTTAGTTTCAACTTCGCTGCATCTTAAATATAAGCCAGTCAACAGTCACTATAAGTTGCTTACAAGGAATAAACTGCTTTCTGATGATGGAAGGGAGATCTTCCATTTTAATTTCAGGGAATCTGTGTCTTTGCGATCTTAACTGTTGAAGATCTTCATATCACCATTCCTGCCATAACATAGGTGATATGGTGTGTTAAAACTTGTAAAACTTAATGAAATCCAAATAACTTTAAAATAATGCTATATTGCCCACAAAAGCAGCATTTGAATGTAAACCAGCTCTAAAACCACAACTACATTTTTTTCATGAAGACACCAGTATCTCTTTAGCTGTATACATTTGCAGTTTTATACTTGTGGCAAATTGCATTTTCATGCCAAGTATGTAAACAAATATATATATATATTTCCAAAGATATCAGATATATTGGGAGATGTCATTTCTTTAAAGTTACATTCCTTGTGCTATTCTTGTACTGTATTCCTTTCACATAACTGTGACAGTCTTGCCAGCGGAAAGGAAAGCAGATCTGATGCTGATTAATGCACTACCTGAGGAGTTTACAGTTCCAAGTCTTTAAATGTCAATGCTCTGAAGAGTTGTCTTCATCGGTTTCTCTTTTCACTGTGGCGTCTCGGCATTATACAGACATTTCCATTGCCTCTGAGGCTCACCTGCTGCCAAAGAGCACTTGTTGCTTTTGGCTGGAGCTCTGTGTGACAAAGCTGGCAGAGAATAGGAAGGTGGACATACAGTACCTCAGGCCTTTGCAGATTTAACTGGTGCCTTTTAAGGACTTTTTATGCAACAAAAGACCTCATTCTTTTTTAGCTTTACTTCTACTCAGTATCTTAGAAGACAAAGAAAACTGTCTGGCTTGGCTCTAATTGTGCCTTTATATGTAAACATTAATAGTATAAAGGGTGAGAATATAATAAAAGAAGCTTTTAAATTTCCAATCAGTGTAAAAAGGGTAATTCTGCACATTGATAAAAAAGACTTCTCCTGGGAAGAAAAAAAAGCAGATAAGCAGTCCTTTTACTCTGCTTATTGATCCAAGGTTCAAGTTTATTCCAGTGTTGACTTTACAAATATTTTTAAAATCTCACTTACATTGCAAAGAGGATACAATTTCTGCTCAGTTCAGCAGCTGGAATGCGGGCTGGAAACTAGCTATTGAACAATGTTAAACGAGTCCTTGCTTGACTACGTTGCCTATAAATCAGATAGTTCAGTTATTTTCGAGATTCATTTCTTAAAGTCTAATTTGTGAGGTGCTTCATTTTAATACCTTGAATTATGCATAAAAGTGGCTTTGTGTTTTTTGGCACCTGTTAAGTTCAGTTGTCATGGTCCAGGCATCCTCTCCCCATTTCAGTACACAGGGCCCATCTCAATAATAATGATTGCCTGTACCCAGGAGTATCTTTTAACTAAGTCACAAGATATCAGAAGGTATGTTGTTAATTATAAGAGTGTACCTTCAGATAGCAGTGAATATTTTAGCTGTGCTGACATTGCATGTGCCTTAGAGCCAAAAGATCTTGGTTTGATTCCAACACAAAAGAAAAACCTGACATTTCTGTTTCTATTGCTCTTTCTTAAAGAGTCCCTGAGTGAAAATGGTTATACAGCTGAACATACTTGGATGGACAATAAAAGAAATTAGATATTGGACCTTAATTATATCACTTGTGGAGGAAAATAACATTTGGTAAGGCTCTGTAGAGCCTGAAGAAAGCCCTCAATAGATTCCATTCACATGTAAATGAGAACTCTCCTGTGTTCATTCCCAGCCTGGGTAAAGAGTGGACAGTCCACCGTTGTTCATGGGATCTCCTGGGTTGTTACGGTAGCTTTAGGTTTCTTTAGTAGCAGGTCACAGCCGGACTAGGCCACTTTAACAAACAGCCTGTCATAAATACCAGACCGCAAGAATTCTTTTGTATCTCTGTTAACCTTTGTGAATCAGAGCCCTCCAGTTTTCCTGGTTGGCTTTTCTCCCTCCTCCAGTGTTTGTCTTGGAAAGCCAAAGCTGCCCATGAAAGGGAAAAGATGAGTGCTTAGGTGTTTAAACAGGCAGTCAGACCAAAAAGATTTACTGTAGCATATGTTAGAAAGCACAAGGCACAAGAAGAATTCTATATTAAACATGTCACAGGGTTTGTCAGATTACTTCACTTATTTTTATTTTGGAATTGTGAATTCCTCATGCCAAGATTCTTTCTAAAAAATATTGTTAAGTCATTAAATAAGACATGTTTGCATTGAAGCATGGAGGTCCTCTTTTCTAATATTATCAATCATAATTTAATTAAACAAAGTATTACAATAAATATGCTGCAATGTTGCACATTACAGTTTCCGGTTCAGCCAGTGTTTTGGATGGTTCAAGTGTTTTGAATGGTTGATTAAAACCCATATGTTAAATGATTGTAATTCTGTAGTCCTCTTTCATTAATTACTGCCGTTATTCAGGAAGAAGTGGTGAAATGTTTTTCACTGGAAATGATTCCCACCTGAGAGCGGAATCTCATTAATTTTGTTTAGCTCAGAAATCTGTCTCTGATACAAACTAACACCCTATGTATATTTTTATAGTTATCCTAAAGGGATTTTAGCTTACATCTCATAAATAATAAAACGATAATAAAACGCAACCATCCATTCTCTCTAACTTCGCAAATGTTAGACTGTATTACAAGGTTGCAGTTAACACTGTAAATCAATTCATTTCTAGCACATCATTACATTGTGATGCACAACACTTGGTTGTGTGCTTTTTTTCCAGACATGCGTCTTGGCCTGAATCCATTGAGGTTTGTTGCATTGCTGTCTTTGTGAGCTGACATTCTAAATTATGGCAAACAAGATGTTTTTCTCCTTGGCTCTATGTCTAGGCTTTTATGAACCTTTTAAACAATTAGTCTGCCTTCCTTTGAAGATGTTTTAATTGGTCTCTCAGACTTCAGCAGTTATTCCTGATCTTACCTCTTTCCTTGTACTTGTGAAAACATTATCTTAGTGAGAATATCTTGTTAGCACTGCCTTTTCATTGTGCTTAGTTCTGGCTTGTGCCTTCTTTCACTTATTTTCTGTAATTGTGTATTTTAAAATGAATTGAAAAATTCCTTTAGTTTCTGCTTGTGCAGACATCATAATTGCAGAAATGCTTTTGTCCTTCAGTTGTATGTAATTCTGCAATGTAATTTTATGTTTCAAATGATAATATAATCTACCACAACGAGATTTATTGATACCTTTAATTTCAAACAATGTCATTCACTTATTAATTTACTTTTAAGAAATATTACTGATTAAAATAGTTTTGACATGTGGATTTTTAAATTTATTTTTAGGCTTGTTGAACATTGAGCAGTACAATTCAGCATTCCAGGACAGTTAACTGATTTCTTTACACTGTGCTTTTAAAACATGTCAGTTGCTTTGTAATCAAACTAAAACCACTAAGTACTCAAGAACTGGACTCGAGACTACCTCAGGGAATAAATCGACAGCCCAGCTCTAAATTAGATCGTATAAAGTAGTACCAGCTTATCAGAACAGTGGATGATGTGATGCCAATCTACGTTTTTCATGACCACCAGTGGACCACAATGCTTACTTATTTTAGGAATGTCTGTCTTAAACATGACATTGGTAATAAGTTGTACTGACTCTTTAAAAATGGTGGACAGGGTAACTACATGGTCTGTTGCTGAAATTATAGCACTAAGTAAGAAAATGGCATGAGGAAAATACGCCCTTGACTACAGATGTCTTCTCCATTGTTGGCATCTTGCTTTTCTGAGGACTAAAACAGTATGGACTTTCATGGGCGTGGTTCCAATCTAAGATTCTCTATACAATGATTTTTATATATAGGACCCCTGACTCCATCACTGCTACATTTGGAAACATACTTGCCTGGTGGGATGCTGCTATCTTGTTATCCATGGGACTACTAGGAATTGTAACCAGAATTAAATCTTATATATTATACATGTATGTATTATATGTGTGGGAACTTCATTGTGGATTAATCAGATGTTCTTGAGTGTGATTCTCCCAGTTGGGTATGTAGTGTGCACAGGAGCATACATATGAAGTTGCAGGCAGAAATAGTGACATCTACTGTTGAAACTTTGCCACTGCTTGAGAGGGTAAATCAGGGTTTCACAAGCCTCATAGGTTAATGAGTCAACAAAATTATTTGTGTAGCAGTGGGAAGTGGTGTTTAGAGTTCTGGACTTGTAACTTGTAGTTACATTTAGAAAAATGAAGTTACATTAAAGATAATAGGTGCTTGAAATAGTTCAGTCTGTTTTGATGGCTACATCTGAAAAAAAAACTTGGAAATACAAAGTTCTCTTTAAATCGTAGGCTGCAAATATTATTAATAGGTGTGTCAATTGGGTTGAGTCAGTGCATGATAGTTGGCATTGATGTGGATTGCAGTTTTAATCTTGATGCACAGGAGCTGCACAGTTCGAATCAATGTGACTTGTACATTTGTGAAGATTATTTACATAGCTTTTGAAGTGTCGTTAAAGATATGTTATTTATTTAAAGGGAATGCAGACAGTCTGCAAATTTAAGCGCCAATAAGAATGCTTCACTTTCAGACTAAGTAAACTAGATTATTGTTACACAAGACATGTGAAAGGTTATGGAGGCAGTATGT